GCTAGGCTTGGCCACCAATCCCCAATACACCAATTGAAGAGACAAGTAACAGAAACAGAAAAAGGAGATTGGTCCAATGTGTCCACATTGGAGAGAGGGACAGAGAAAGAGGTCAAATGGCCGAAATCCACCTTTAGGGTATTGACACGAGGTTTAGAGTCAAATAGAGGGCAAGAGGCATGCATGACTGAGCAGTCTTGGTCAGTATGCACTCGCCCTCATCATGGACCCCTCATTGCCTCTCCTCAAGTCTGGCCTGCAGTGTAGTCTGATAAGGAGTCAGAATTCTGTGAAATCTCTCCTGGGAGGCAACTTCTTCCCAGATGACACCAGACTTGCCTTTGCCTTACTCTAGCTTGGGAATCTGGAGAAATTTTAATTCTTTGGAACCAATAGGCTGATAACTTAGGGAGGGGCACAAATGTCTCTCTTTAGCAATCTTCAATCCTATTAGATAGATGGTTACAGAAGTTGCCTAATGTTTCCATATCATTAATTTTATTTTTTTCTTTTTCGTGTGTGTGTGTGTGTGTGTGTGTGTGTGTGTGTTCAAGGGGAGGTCAGAGGACAATTTGCAGAAATTGATTGTCACCTTCCACCAAATTAGTCCCAAGGATTAAAATCAGGTCATTAGGCTTGGTAGCAGTCACTGAGTCATCCTGCCAACCTGTGCTATTGTGTTAGTCAGTGTTCTATTGCTGTGAAGAGACATCATGACCACAGCAACTCTTATAAAGGAAAGCACTTAATTGGGGAATTGCTACAGCTTCAGAGGTTTAGTCCATTGTCATGGTGGTAGTAAGTCCTCATGGTGGCAGGCAGGCTTGGTGCTGGAAAGGTAGTGAGAGCTTTACATACTGATCCTCAAGTCGCAGGTAGAGACACTGGGCATGGCATGGGCTTTTGAACTCACCTCCTCCAACAAGGACACACCTCTTAATCCTTGCCAACAGTCCACCAACTGGGACCACACAGCCTATAGGGGTCATTCTTAATCAAACCACAACAGTTATTATTATTATTATTCCTGTGGATTGAACTCGGGACTTCATACTTGCTAAGTACACACTTAGACTCAACTCCACACTCCATCCCTCCATTCTACAGACATTGCTACTGCCCTCTCTCTCCCCACTTTGTGTTTTAGACAGAGTCTCATATAGTCCAGGCTGGTCTCCATTTCAATATGTAGCCAAGGACGGCCTTGAACTCCTTATCCTCCTGCCTCTACTTGCCAAGTGTGATTACAAGAGTGAGCCACTTTTATATAACTTGATGGAATTAACTTGGGCAGTTGGATACGTTTGAGGATCTAACTCAGAGCCTCATGCCTGTTAGGCAAGTACTTTATCACTGAGCTACACAGCCCAGAGCCATCATTGTGGATGGTCCTAGGAGAGGCAATACAAACTTTCCAAGCTGCACTGAGTCCCTTTGGACCACAGGTTTTTATTTTTTTTTTATTTCCTGTGTATGGACGTTTTGCCTGCTGGGCCACAGTTTGATAGTGATTGAGAGATTCATCTCGTATAGGTCTGTAGCTCCCAAAGGGATGTGACCTGCCTTGCCTGTTGGGATAACCTAGCAGTGGACATGTCCTAGCAGCAGGAACTCTATTGGCCTAGTGATTCCAGCTGCCAAACACATCTGGCCCCAATAACCCTTGCTTTTATGTCAACATCTGCCAGCAGCGGTGCTCAGTGTGGCTCAGAACTCCTGGGGACTTCAAGGACAACAGCTACAATAACATTGCCATGTTGACATTTGCACTCTGATGCTGGCAACATAGCAAGAAGATAGAGGCAGCAAATTGGAATGGTGCCCATTTGTATTCCTTCCTGTCACATATTTCTAATATATTTTCTTATTTGTTCATTTATTCATTTTATGGTTTTTTGTTTGGTTGGTTTGTTTTTTGGAGACAGTGTCACATGTAGCCTAGGCTGGCTCCAAAGTTTCTATTCAGCTAAGAATGGCCTTGAATTCTTCATCTCCTGCTTCTACCTCCCTCCCAAGTACTGGGATTATAGGCATGCTCCAACATGCCTAGTTTGAAATTTTTTGTTTGTTTTGCTTATTTTACATTTATTTATTAAAAATTTTAAATGATTTATTTTAAAGCCAAGACTGGTGGCATTTAAATCCCAGTACTTGGGAGGCAGATGTAGGTGGCCCACTGTGAATTCAAGGCCAGCCTGGACTATGTAGTTAATGTATTCCAAGCAGGTCAGAGCTACAAAGTGAGATTTTGTTTGCATGCCTATGTGGTACTCTTGGAGACCAGAAGGGGGCATCAGATCCCTAAGAGCTGAAGACGCTCTTAACTACTAAATTATATTTCCAGCCTTTCTTTTCTGTTTCCCGCTGTCCCTCCGTTCCTCCGTCCCTCCCTCTTTCCCTCCCTTCCTTTTAAATTTGTGTATCTATGTGTGTCTCTGATACCCACAGAGGCCAGACACACCGGATCACCCTAGAACCAGAGTAACACTGGTTGTGAAACCACTCAATGTGGGTGCTAGGAATCAGATTTGAGACCTCTGAAAGAGAAGCAAGCACTCTTAAATGATGAGACATAGCTCTAGCCATCCTGTTGATTTTTTTTTTTCTGACACAGGGTTTCTCTGTGTAGCCTTGGCTTTCCTGGAACTCACTCTAGACCAGGCTGGCTTCAAACTCATAGAGACCCACCTGCCTCTGCCTCCCGAGTGCTGGAACTATAGGCGTGCGCCACCACTGCTCAGCCATATTGATTTTTTAAAAAATACTTTATTTTCATTTACTTTAAATTTTTAACTGTGTGCATTTTGTCTGAATGTATATCTGTGCAACATATGCAGCCTGGTGTCCATAGAGGCCAGAAATGGGTCTTGGGTCCCCTAGAACTGGAGTTACAGATGGTTGTGAGCTTCCAAGTGGTTGCTAGGAATTGAACCCCAATCCTCTAGAAGAGTAGTCAGTGCTCTTAACTGCTGAACCATCTCTGTAGTCCCCTTTATTTTATTTTATTTTATTTTTTGGTTTTTCGAGACAGGGTTTCTCTGTATAACAGCCCTGACTGTCCTAGAACTTACTCTATTTATTTTTAATTAGTGTGTGTGTGTGTGTGTGTGTGTGTGTGTGTGTGTGTGATGTGTAGATTTGTGCATATGAGTGCAAGTGTCCATGGAGACCAGAAGCATCAGAGTTGGTGTTATAGGAAGTGGTGAGCTGTATGTGCTGTGCTCTTCTCTCTCTCTCTCTCTCTCTCTCTCTCTCTCTCTCTCTC